TGAGTATCTTCCTTTAATTTACTTGCCTTCAATTTAATCTGATAATGGAGAGTGAATTGATTACTTCAGCTGAGAATCTGTTCTATACTGTGTGAAAAGACCTGCTTTGGTGGCTTGACAGCTATGCTATAACATTGATACTTTACCTTGTTATGCCTGATTTTTTCTTGTGGTTTATTGCCAGCTGGATTGCCCACTGCTGCTCACAGGCTCTTCACTTGTGCTTTTATTTTAGGATGCTCTTGCATTACTTTGGAGAACCGCCGGCTGACCTAATAAATCCCACCTAAAGGAAGACCACCCTTGTGCACACATAGAGAAGCTGCAGTGAAAAAAAAAAATGGGATTAATATTTTCCTGTAGCTTTTTTGTATTTGGATGAGGTTGCTGGAACAGGCATGTTCATGGTGAAGACTGGTGGGCAATCTCTTAGTATGTGGCTCTACAGAGCCCCCTGGTAGGTGCATGTGCTGTACTCAGGGGAATTAGCTCACAGGAATGTGCAGGGGAGTGAACTGGAGCCAATACTGATTACAGACAGTTGTTCGTGGTGTACTATGATTTTCTGCAAGCACAGCCTGTCAGCACTTTTGTGTCAGCACTAGGTAGCTATTAATCACTAAAGGTACTGAATAATGAAAGTAAAAATGGCTTAAGAGCTACTTAACTGCCAGTCTTTCCAGAGGGAAGAGATACACATGCAGGTGCAATGGTACTTGAACCCATCTAAATAAAAGATAGTTAGTTGGCACTGTACATCCATGACCAACTTTCTGTAATTTACCCCCTACTGGCCAAATCCAATCAATTTGCCCAATGTGTGATGAAAAGCCAGAGAACAGAGAAGAAGACAGGATTTAATACGTTCTTGGCAGCCTGCGTTGCTAAGGAGTCATGCTGCCACCTTCTCCATTAGCTGGAGTTTTTCAAAGAGATGGTGGCTAGGGTTAGATTAAAACCAAAAAAATAGCAAAAATAAGTCCTTGTTTGTCAGAGTGATAAAAAGCACACACACAAAGCATAGATCATAGAGGAGAAGGCAAGTGGGAGAAACTGAATAACACCCTGCCCCAGCTACTCCCAGGCTCATCACACAAGCCATCAGCCCATCAAAGGCCCATCTCCACAAACCCAGAGGAGCACAGGGGCACCATGGCAGATAGGAACCCAAGTTAAGGACTCATAGGGACACCCTGGCTGAACCTCTCCCAGGGCTGTCACAGGAGCACCTCAGCCCCTGCCCAGGTGTGAAACCCATCAACATGAGGCAGTGGGAGTTCTCTCATTGTCACCTTTCAGACTATGGGAGGTTACTGCCTGGGGGTGCCAGACACATTATGGGATGTAGGGGAAGAGCACTTTAGGACTGCACAAGAATTATGGGATGTTTAGGAGAGGAATCAAAAGTGGTAAAAGGGATGAGTGTAGGGGATTTAGGGAGAAACAGATGTAGGAAAATAGAGGGATAAAGGGATAAAAAGGACTGGTCAAATATACACAGGGTCACTTGCCTGGCCATGCCCTGTGCCCTTCCCAATCACCACAGTCTGTCCTATCTTATTAAATGTCATTACTAACTCTTCCTGGGTGAGGAAGAGGCAAGACCATGGATGGAACTTAGCTGCTGGGGAACCAGGGGAGTCCCAGATGGCTGCTGAAGAGACCATGGGGTCTGCAGGTGACATGAGACTCATTTGAGTGTGTGCATAGGTGTTTCCAGGGAGGAGTCACCTGGAAAGACTGAGGATCCGGGACCAGCTACTGGGTGAACTGTGTGTCCAAAGCCAGCTACTGCAGAGACCACAGTGTACGTGTGGGTGCACATGAGTGTCTGAGTGGGGGAGTCTGTGTGAGCGACAGGAATGGAGTTGCAGCTTCAGGGGCTCATATGTCCAGGTGCCAGCAACTGTGGAGACTGGAATCCAGGAGCCAGCTACTGGACAGACTGTTTGAGCCCAGCTGCTGAAGGATCCTCATTTTATACTATTTCCCACTAATGTACCTTCATCTTGATCAGACAGAGAGAGGAACAGGATGAGGCTGTTGGTGCTATGTTTGTTTGAGTGCTGTGTATATGTGTTGTGTATGGGAGTTTGTGTGTTGTACCAGCTGGGAATACATGCTCATCCTTACTGGTTGGAACTGGGGGCGTGGAGCTGCAGCAGCCTCGCTTCTATCAGGCTACTGGATTCACCCCACACCCCCCAAAAACCATCCAAAGCATGTCTCAAAAAACTGATAGCAACATGTCTTACAATAGCTGATGCATCCCCCTTAGACTGGGAGATTAAATCCATGTGAACATATCAGAGCAATGAGTGATGCAGAGGCACCTGAGCTAGCTAGCACTGTCCATGTCAGAACATGCACATGGCCCAGCAGAGTGTCATGGTAATGCTGTTTTAGGTGTGAAAATGTTATTATCCTGCACTGCAAGAGTCTGTGTGGCTCCACCGCTTCCTAACACCGTCTTAGCTCAGGCTCTCTTTCCTCTGGTATCCACCTGCCATACTTACTGCACAGTTCAAACCACGGCTGAGGGTATGTGTGTATTTGGGGTAGGTAGATAGGACTTGCACCTTCCATGGTTCAGGCAAGAGCTATGACCAGTTGACTGTGGAGTCAGTCTTCTCCAGCTCAGTTGGTCACCCATGGTGGTGTTCACAATTACAATTCCATTAGCTGGAAAGGGAAAGGCAATTCAGTTTTGAAAAAAGTCTTGTTGTTGGTTTTGCTTGACCAATGCTATTTATTGTTCTCCGGCCATGTATATTACACAGCTGAAATCCAACTGGGAAAGAAAAGCACCATTGTTTTCCACACTGGATCAGAGTTGTCTTGTATAGTAGAGAGAGCAGAAAGCATTTCTGCTGGACGTTGCTATGTCAGTACATAGTATTATCAGACAGTTCAGAAACTGCACCATGGGCCCTACTGACCCGAAGGAGGCTGCGTACCTGTAAAGGAGATTGCACAACAGTTCTTCAAACTGTCAGACAACATAATTCCCATTTTGCAATATTGATTCTGCTTCAACCAGCCTGGTGCTCAGTCATGTTCAAGAACCAGGCTGAGCTGGAAGTAGCAGTGCTATCATATAAGGTGAAAAATAGAAGTTAACATCATCGGTTGATTATGACATCACCATCTAAAAGGTTACTCTAGCAAAAAGAATGTATAGAGAGAAGCTAAAATTTACAAACCAGAGCAAGACACATGAATACAAGCTCCATTTTAAATTGGCTCATTAACCCTCAGGCCAGGGCCCTGAGTGCACCAATGGGCCTTAACTGCCCTGACCAGCCTCACCTGGGATCTCCACCCCACATGCCCTGCCCATGGGTCTAGGAGCTACACTTAAGCCCCAGCCTGGGCACCTAGTCCTTGTTTGAGAGAGGCTATAGCTGCATCTGTTGCCAGTCCTGACTCCTGGATGGGCTTCCTTGGACATCTTTTACAGTCCTGTCTCCAGCCCTGCCTGCTGCTGCTCCTTCTGAATGGACTCCTGGAACAGAGCCTCAGGATGAGTTCCAGATCTGGTTTTGCACCTTTTTTTCTCTGTGCCTATCAGCAAACCCTGTTAACACTGTCCTGCTCAGCCCCTTCACTTTGAATTCTATGGGATTGGAGGGCTATGCCTTGACTGTTGAAGGCAATGCTTCTGCTGAGGTCATTCTTGGTTTCTAGCTTATCATCCCTCATGGAGCAGACCAACTCTTGCTGTTCCCTGGCAGCCTGCACTGCATGGACAATACCTATGCAAAAATCTCTGATGTTATCATGCCCTTAATGTGCTTGTGTTATAGATTAATCCATGCTACCTGCAACCAAGAAACAGAATTGCTTCCAGGACTGGTGAGAGCACAAACCAGGTGCTGTATTGTGATGATAGCAGTGATGAGGTCGAGTTCTTCCAAACCACCCTGCCTGCCTGTTATGACAAACTTGCTGCTTCATGTACATGCATTCACGTACCACTTCTCTTCATATCATCACTCCTTAAAGAAACTCAAGCAGGGAAACCATATCATCAAGACTGTGCCTGATGATGCTGCCATTCATGGATTTCTAGCACTTGGAGAATTCCAGTGGGCTCTGCAGAAGGCCTTGTGTCCTCTCTTTTCTTAGACATACTCCTCGGTGTAAGAAATGGATTGACGTAAGTGAAACAAGGTATGAATGGGAAGTAAAAGTTTACTACCTCTATTTTTTTAAAAAAACCCAGCAGCAGGGTATTTCTATTCTTCTTGGCACTTACTGAGCAATTGTGAACAAATCATGTGACTTTTGTACCTACTTGGGTTAAAAGAAATTAGCTGTTTAATAAAGATTTATGAAATGTAATTAATGAGAAGCCTTGAATATTTTTTTTTCCCCTCAATGAGTCAACCAGTATTATGTTACTTATTCTCCTGCTTTTGCGTTAAAGTCAGTCTGGCCAGCTGCTAGAGATGTTTTACTCCAGAATGTCTCCTAAGTTCTGCCCTCTTCTTGACTCCTGACAAAAACATGTGTGAACCAAGAGGTACAAAGATAGGAGTCACCATCTAGCATGGAAAACAGACCAAGGGTTTCTACTGCTCTTTGCAAAGTATGTCACTATACTCATGTGAAAAATACATCCATAAAAATATTATCTTAACAGTGACAAAAATATACAAGATTACTTATAAACAAGAAGAACATACTGAAGTATAGAATAGCACGTGCAAACTACTACTTATAGATTTGCAGGCCCTTTTTCCTTGAGTAAATATTAAAAGAGGAGTCAAGAACTATGAGAAAGCCTTACTAATTTCCCCTTTGCATTTGAGATTGCATGTTCTTAAAAACATGTGTTTTGGGAGGAGACGTTCTGCTCTTTAGTAGTATAATAAAACCTATCAGGAAGGATTATGTTTTCAGCTTTTCATAATCGTCAGGGGTTTTTTAATATAGAAGTCTTTTTATCTCTATTCCCTTTAACTTGTAAATTTATTTTTGTTTTATGGATAGGCAAAATGAATCACAATGTTGATTTTAAGACCATCAGTTCAAGTCAGGTGTCTATGGGTGACCTTCAGAGACTTCTTAGCCAAGGAGAATACCCTCCTTTTACCTCTGCTCCCATCTTCGAGAGCAAGTTTGTACAGGTAAAAAGTCACTGAAAATCATTTGCAATGCTTAAGATAAAATTTCTTGCAATGATTACACTTTTTTACTCTGTCAGTTCAACAGGTTTTCCTCACTGATTTATTCTCGCTGTTCTTACTCTGTTTATTACACACATGTGGATATAATGTTTCCCTTTTATAGACTCATTCTGCTCACACTTTTTATAGGCAATAGTCCAGAAACCCAGCAACAGCAACGTTGCAAATTAGAGAAAGAAAAAAAGGTCATGTTTTCACCTCTTCTCAGCCCCAACTCCTTCCTGTAGCAACAGCTAGGACTGTTCTAGCAAATTTCTGGTTCTGTGCTATCTCATTAAGGCTTTTAGCCATTAAATGTCAGTTCAACCTAGCCTAAATGGCAGCCAGCCTTCCCCAGAAAATCTTCCCCCACTTGCAACTTTTAGTATCCTCGCAGGCAATGTCACTACCCTGCCTGCCCCTTACCCCAAGCACTGGCCAAAGATCCCTGCAAGACTCTGGCAACACTCTACACTCCTACAACACTGCATTCACAGTGTGTCTAAAGAATCTGAATTCTATTTACATGATGTATTTCAACTGTGTTTTTCATAGGATTTCATCACCTCACTTTGTGATAATTACAGCATCCTTTGATCTTGCCTTGATTAATTCAATCTTGCCTTGTTGATACACATGCAGAATGTTAATTAGCTACAAGTCTCTGTTTTCAAGGTACTTCGTTATTTATCCCTGCTTGATTTATCAGACCTCATTTACTATCAAGAAGGCAGTTGCCCTAACCAATCAACCCAATAAACCAGCTCCATCACTGACTCATGTACATTAAAATGAAAACAAAATTAGCCTTTGATCTTTTTTACATACTGTCTCTTACACTTGAAAGCAGATTCTACCAGATATCCACAAATTTAATACACTGTCCTTCCTCAAATTCCTTCTTAGGACACACTTTTTCCCTCATGCCTATCAAAACCAAACCCTGACCATTGTACATAACATGTGATTCGATCAGACTTATAAACTTATTCTTATCTCCTTTTGTGGTGGTTTAACCCACAGGTAGACTACGCAGTCCTGCACTCACTCACCTCCCCTGGTTAGATGGGAAGGGAATCACAACAAAGGAACACAGATTAGGATAAGGACAGGGAGGGCTCGCTCACCAGTTATGGTCATGGGCAAAACAAACTCAACTTGGGGAAGAATAATCAATTTAGTTCGTTGCTATTCATCCGAGTAGCACAGTGAGACATAACAACCACATCTGAAGACACCTTCCCTCACCCCTCTCTCCTCCCCAGGCTCAAGTCACTTTGCTCCTGATTTCCCTACCTTCTTCCCCCCAGCAGCACAGGGGGCAGGGAATGGGGGTTGCAGTCAGTTCACCTCTGTCGCTTTTCCCGGCATTAAAGTCCAGGAACAAAGTGTTCCAACGCAGGCTTCCTATGGAGTCATGGACCATTTCGGCCACAGCTTCTGTCTCCAGCATGGGGACATCCATGGGCTGCAGATGGGTCTCCAGTCCAGTGCACCTCTTCACCTCCTAGCTCTGGGGACCCATCCCCGCTCTGGCATTGAGCGGCTCTGGGGTCTCAATTCGAGTCACACTTGCCCTCAGGCTCAGCTTCTCTGCTCCAGCGTGGAGTCCTTCATGACCTACACGTGGGCCTCTGCTCCACCACTGAACCTCCATAGGCTGCAGGGGACCTCATGTACCTCCTCCTACTCCATGCAGTTGAACTGGGTGTCCGAGGTTCTCTGTCCTCCCCCTCCTCCTCCTTCCTCCTGGCAATCCATCTCTCTCTTTGTTTAGGCTGATGGTCGTCTCTTGTTCAGGTCAATGGCCTCTCCTCCAGGTTCTCTCTACCTTCTTCTGTTCAGGACCGTCCTTGCCCTCACAAATATGGACTAAGAG